AAATGAGTCGTAATATGGTAATAAGGTTCATTTTAACCATAAGATGCATATTTTAATTATCCAACTAGGTATATTATCGCCAATCATAAACAAAATAACCTTATAGCTATCTCTTATCGTCATATATATATATATATATATATATATATATATATATATATATATATATATATATATATATATATATATCTATATATATATATATATATATATATATATGTGTATGTATATATATATATATATATATATATATATATAAATATATTCATATATATATAAATAAATACATATATATATATATATATATATATATATATATATATATACATACATATATATATATACACATATATATATATATATATATATATATATATATATATATATATATATATATATATAAATATATATATATCAGCCTTATCAACAGTACCGTTATATATCTCCTGACATAGTCTCTCTAAATTCATGCCCTTAAAATGTATGATTTGATAAAAAAAAAATATAAAAAATATAAATCTTGGATATATCAAATATCATTTAATTTTTCCTTGTTGCATATTGCTTGTTACCTTTGCATAAATTTGTCAGTTTAAAGGGATACAAGTTTTATTTTTTAACCAAAACGTCATATTGTAAATATTATCCTTTTGCAATCACTTTTTGTGTCATAAAACAGAATAAATTTCATTCAGCAACCAATTCGATGACAATAGCTCTGTAAACCATACAAAATTCAAATTTAATTTTCTTATTGTCTCTTTGCAAATGGACAGTTTTTGTGATATTTGAAATTTTCTTTTGTTTGAACATAATTTTAAAATTGCTCTCTTGCGTGACTTTTCCATGTTTTATGTATATAGTTACTTATCATTTTCAATCTTTGTGTTATTCATTGATTCTTGTCCAAAATTTGTGCTTAATTTAACAAATGTACCTAACCATGTTTAGTCAAATAATATTATTATTTGTATATTTCATTAAATTTAATAGTAACTGAACATAGTTTTAGTTTTCCACAATGACCTTCATATTTTTTCTTCCCTTTCTACAGAGTGCATATATAAGTTAGGTACTGTTGATTGTGTTGCAATTTATATCATCCATCAACAATGTTGTAGCGGTAACAAATAGCCGCTACTTATTATTATGTTTTCTATTGCTAAAAGTAATCACTAAAATAAAAGATTCGTTGATACTTATAAATCTACTTTATAAAAACAAAAACATTTTATTATCATCTTCACACTTCATTAATTTATTGTGGAATGTGCTATTCCTTGGTTGCCTAAATAACATGTTTGACTTACATGCCCATTACTCCTAGCTAGATAAATAATAGTTGGTCTCATTGCACCGCCTTCTGGAATTACTTTATTTTACTATTGATATCCACAACGTGGCTGTCGTCTTGCTCATTTGCCAATACAAAGAATTACCCGAATACTATTGTTGTTGTTGGGCTTAACGCCATTTTTCAGCACACGATAGACTATTCATGGAGGCCAGTATTAATGGTGGAGGAAGAAACCGGGAATCACCGGAAAGAACCACCGACCCACGAGAAGCTACTGGCAAGAATTCTCACATATCCACATTCGCCGAATCCTAGACTCGAACCCACGCAGACAGGTGAGATGGTAGTGATCCGTAACGGACAGCGCTTTAGACCACTCGGCCACTCGGGGCCCCGCCCGAATACTAAAATCAAACCAGCCCATCAATGCATATTGTCCCTTTTATGTTGCTACTAACATGCGGTATGTCTCTGACCCTATCGCCTGGACAAGCATGGTTTAAATGTCAAATTATAAGAGTAAATAAACTCAATTGATAAAATGTATTCAAATGCAGCATTCTTCCAAATCAGATAATGCAAAATCCTTTCACAATGTGGTTTCAAGCTTAAATAAGTGGCACATGATTCACAAATCAGCACCGCACATTCCCGGCAAACTTAAACAGTTAATACAAGTTTTGGGTCCAATAATCAATTTCTCACAAATAACCAACAAATGTCATTTCCACTACTAAATTTAAGGCAAATGTCCATGGTGGTATTGACAAATTTTTGGGTGGAAACATCGTGAACTGTCTAACTGAAATACATGTATATGGTGCCTCTACAACACCAGCTGACCTGACGGAATGAAAACATCACACATGAGCTGCCAAAAGAGATCAAATTAAACAAAAACAACTGATGTTGTCTTGCCTAAACTAATCGAGTGACACAGTAACATTTGTCATTGACCCACAGATATGTCTCTGTTTTTAAAAAAGTAAAGACAAATAAATGGATGTAAAGTTCCGATTGATTTATTTGATTACCTTACAAGTGATAAATGTGAAACTAGTTTAAATATTTAAAACCCTAACATATGATTACAAAAGGATACCAACCAAATTTTGTTTAGGATATTTTTAAAATGCGAAAGGTGATATTATCTACGGAGTTGTGTACATATTTTAAGACATGACAACAAACAATACTGAATGTATATTTTGCAAGAAAGATTTGTCAACTATACTGCTAACAAGAGGATTTGTACAACATTTACTTTTTAAGCCATACTAAACAGTGTAACTAAACACTGACAAAATGTATATAACACATGTTTCATTTAACAGTTAAGAATTAGAAAAGCTGAAAACACTTGTTCATTAAAATCAAAATGAACTTTTAAATTTGATAATTTATTTTTGCGTAATGTCTATCTGCTCTCTGTATCTCATATACATAGAATCAGAGTCGCTGTCAATTTGACAATTTTATCCGTTTCTCTGAAATAGTAATTTTACAAATATTTTCATGTTTATGAGATATGTGAGCTAATATTCTGTTCAATTTATTACCATTAAGCCTTTTTTGTCAACTCAACTTACATTCTCTCTCTTTTATGATTCCAATTTCATTCTATTGCAAGTGAAAACACACACTATTCCATAAGGTTGTACCGAAAAGTGGCAAAGGTGCCGTCAGCTCTTACCAGTCGAAAGGGTGACTACAGCAGTTTCTCCTGTTCTACAAAAAAAAACTATTGGTCAGGAAATGAAATTCATGACACTGTCAGTAAATATCACAGGTTCAATATGGAGAGCAAGGGTGTTGACTTTTATGATATCATACACTCTAAATCTACTCAATTACCCAGCATTCCTTGATAAATCAAATCATCTAATATAAATCATTTGCTTATTCTCGTCACTAATTTATGAAACATCATCCCTCATACTAACAAATTGTAAAAATTGGCACTGTCTATAAATATTTGTTAACTGTGAAATACAATTGATTTAGAAAGTCCACGCTTTAATTTTATACAATTTGCAATAAATAAGACGCTATTTTGATACGAAATAATCTACTAGTGATTTAATTTTTGCTACATTTTAAAATTCAATGTGTAGCTTTCATCTTAGATGTTGAATAATTCCGCTGTCATTGACTGCCGTTATCAAGCTTAAATTGCTAAATTATACAGTACGCAGATCTTCCAAATAATTCTAACACCAGTCTATATTAGAATGCTTTCATAATCTTGTTCCAATAATAGTAAAACCTATGATATGTAAATTATAAACAGTGAGTGAAACGGAATTCTCCAGGTGAGATGTGAACTAATCCTGAATGGTTTCCGAAGTTCACTTTGAATCTGTCACCAAAAAAGGACTTGGAAATACTTAAATGTAATTCTGACTCCCTTTAATGTGTGTACTTTCCTTCTGTTTTTTTTTTGTTAAGTTATATTTACATTTTTTCATGGTTAAAAAATGCATTAAAGTGCTCTAGAACAATATTATTATATGCCCATTTTTTTCTCCGTTAATTCTGCATTATAAGAATGGTTCAGTATTTCCCGATCTTGCACTCCTCGTGCCACATTCATGCATGCCAAAAAAGAACTATTTTCTAACGTAAACAATTTTTATGAATGAACCAAAACAGATATTTTATGGACTGTCAAATACCTGCAAATGTTTCATAGACTGACACATGCAAACTTCTTTGGCATATTCTGCGTTAACTTTGATGCAATGTTTCATATTTAGGCAAGCTATCGACGTCATACAGTGTCGTCACAATAACACGCAAGGAATAAGACATGAACTGTCTTCTTTAGCTGGTAACAAAAATGGCAAAAAATATAATTACAATCCTAGATCCGGATTTTCCTTAAAGTATACTTTCGTAGTTCTTCAAATCCAAATTCCACGAGCTATGGCATGAGTTTTGAAGGTTGATTATACATTTCGAAATTGTACTGTAATTTCGAGTATATTCCAAGTGCCGTTACATCATCCTGACTGCGCTCGAAATAAAATAAACATTAATTTCCACAGCGTCTTTTCGATCATTGCAATTAAAAGGCTTCATAATTGTGAATCATTCAATGACAGAGCAGAAACGTGCATGTTGATGTCAACACACTTCAATACGATTAAATTGGCAGACTATGCTGGAATCTGTTGTAAGTTACTTCATGTAAATAAGCCCAAAACATAATCACAAAATTTCGACGAATCGACAAAAATTACCAAAACGTATTCATTACAGATCAAATGGAAAAGTTGTTGTAATGCGTATTAATTAACAATATTACTCCAAATTTCAAGTTTAAGTAGAACAGACGCCATTTTCTTTTAAACCTTACGTCTAGCGCGCGACCAACTTCAAATTTGTCTGGGCGGAGTTACGTTCGAATTAATAATCTTGTGTAAAAATGCAGCTACGTTTGTATATTTAGTTTCGATGTTATGGGATGTGATTATGATTTTTAACGTAGCTTTAACAATTTTTCAGTGATATCGCTACGATGTCTCCAGTGTGGCAGTTTATAGTGATGTCTAGCACTGGGGCATCATGCCGCAGAAAAGTAGCATGATGTCCCACCCAGTCACATTATCTTGACACCAGGCCGACCAGTCCTAACATTAGCCTCTTAAAGCTAAGCGTCAAGCGAGGCAGCTGTTAGCAGCATTTTTGTAAGTCTTTAGTATGACTCGAACGGGGATTGAATCCACGACGTCCCGCACCCGAGGCGGACGCTCTAACCACTAGGACAACTGAGTTCAAACGAGCAATGGAACTGACCATACGTTTCAATGGCTATCTATCTCTTTAACAAAGCATTATTCATACACATAAAGGTACAGGAGACGCTACTAAGTAAAAAATTATAAAACTTCTGTACAAAAGCAAATTTATCAATTCGATATATTAAGCCAAAATTCTAAAACCAAACTGAAAACACAACGTGTTATTACTGTCGTATACTAAAAAACTGAAATTTGAAATACATTACCAGTTCCAACACATTTTTTTTCTCTCTGAATTAAAATAAATATTTGCTATAGTGAATTGATATTTCTTTCCCGATAATTGGAATAACGTACCTACCTGACTCTAGGGAAAAAGGAAAACTTTTTATACATGGATCACAATTATTTGGCCTGCAGGGAAAATATGGCAGCTAATTATTTGAAAATTAATCGGAAAATTTGATTTTTTGTTCCATTTTTGCTTTCAAGTTTTAAACTGTAAACTAACAAGAACTATGCGTTTACATCCATAGCTCCCACTGAACCATTAGCTGCGACATTTAAATAATAATTGTAGCATTTAGTGTTTGTTCTGCATGCTGAACACATTTTCTATTAATTTCCGTTACAAACAGAAGATTATAGGACCCGGAAATGAAAATATAGACACTCTGTAATATCAGCACAATTTTGCAAAAGGCTCTATTATTTCCAGTTCCTGCAAAATTCTCGTATTACCACCGGTCCACGATTATTTTATTAAAATTTCGTCCTACACTGTACTCTCATGGGTTACTGCTCATATTTCCAGGGCGTGTCACATCAATATTGATAATATCTTGTTTGTTTCCTTAGTAATGAATTCTGTTGGACATTGTTTCGATCAAATCACCTCTGGCTAATTACACAAATGAGTGTGTCACCCAGAAATCACCGTATTCAATGCAACTGTTGTCGACTAACATCTGCCGTCACGTTATTGGCTGACAAATCTAAACCGTCACAGTGTGGTCTAGTAGATCTGAATTGACGGTGCCTACTTGAAATCAATAGTACAAAGCTCAGCGTACACCCTGATTAGACAATCCATTATTACGCCGGCAGATGTGTTTCATCGTTCTTTACAATTGGTTGATCATTCAAAATTAGAAAATACGGTAAGCCCATACAGACAAAAATCAATGCTAACTCATTCTCGATAATTTTCTATTATAAATTAGCTTTAAGATACTATCTTCGATGGAAAACTAATGATTCACCCAATAAATTTTGATCGTCATTTATGGAAGATATGGTGAAGGTATTAATCAAGTTCTGGAAACAGGAATAATCTCATAACAAAAATAGACAAAAATATTGGAATTTCTTGATTAAAAGCAGTGTTGTTATAAAAATCTGATCAAAAAATATTGATTGTGAAGGGAAGTGAACGTATTTAAAAACGCAAGTTCTACCAATTAATTTATCGTATCGATATCGAACCTTACAAAGGAGTGTCATGTATGTATGTATGTATGTATGTATGTATGTATGTATGTATGTATGTATGTATGTATGTATGTATGTATGTATGTATGTATGTATGTAATCTTTACTGAATGACGAAAACACATTTGGACATGAAAGACCCATCTGGCACACGACGTCTCCAACATATTATAGTCTGAACATACATCTCCGTTTGTTTATACCCTTTACCAATTTAATAAACAAAAAGCTTAAATGAGATTTAAAACAATGCACAGAATTGTGTCAGTTCATTTATTGACTTATAATTTTAAACCCGATTATGACCAGGGAAAAGCTGACACCGTTATCGTCTGCGTGTTTCCTGCAAACTGCTTTTCAGCGTGAAAGACTATGTTGCTCGCCGGTTATTTCCAGTTCCTGGTCAAGTCCATTCTCAGCGAAGGGGTGGATACACAGCTACACACATATGTACATAAGAGACAAATGCTACTTTGTCTATTTCTGATATTCATGATGTCAAATCATGCAAAAGCAAAGAATGACAACTATCAATTTGCCTTTTACTTGGATTTAACAAGCGGTATAGATTATATGTACATATATGCAAAGTGATATAACTCTCAAATTTTAACCTTGTAATTTACGGAATTATCTGGCATAATAGAATAAATGACACACCAAGTATCTCTGGAACAACTATACTCTTCCGTATTGGGAAACTTATGCGTTTCATTTCAGCTGCTCAAGAAAGAAGAATTTATTTATATTTTAAATGAAGCAAGTTAATTTCAAATAACTAGTTCCCAAAAGTAGTTACTTATAGAGTAAAAGAGCTTTTGAAATGGTTAGTTCTTGACCATGGAACCTGGAATTCACTGTTAGTTTTGATCCGATATTATGCTTAACATTGGATGATCTTAGTTCAGTTTGGTTAGAAATATAATTTGAAGAAAGATTGTTAGAGACTTATGTGTCATGGTTCCTTTAAAATCAAAACTACTTTTATGTGTTAGAAGCCATTGTAGACGTAAAAACAAAACATCTGAGGGAGTCAAAATAGGAAGTTTCAAAAGTTTCAGGATTATTCGTGCGGTGTTTTTTGTGTTTGTTTTTGTTTCATGTTCTGTATAGATTATAATTTGACATGTTACCCAATATGATGCAGCAGCAGTTAATCAATGGTAGTACATGTAAAGAAAAGAATTTCAAGCGAGAAGTGCGGAAACAGAATGCTGAAATTCATCTAGCTATCAAGAATCCAAAAAAAGTCAACGTAACAGAGTGTTGAATGTCTTTAAGCTGGAAATAATCCAAATATAGTAATTGAGTTAAGTCCCTGTAATAGTGTGCTAAATTCCGCTTAGCTAATAACTGAGGTAGAAATCTGTACCACTCTAGAGTGCCAGTCATCAGACAGATTCAGTGGGGTATCACTCCTAATACAACTCCTAGGTATCACTCCTAATACAACTCCTATCATAAAGAACCCGAGATAGCCAGCCTGGACAGTGTAGCCTAGGGAGTAGTTCCGCTACACTATGTTGTACCTCAAAATAAAGTTAAACACACAACAATAACAATAACCACAATAACAATTTTATAGACTGGCTTTTGATTGATATTATATTGCCAGCACTGTGTTAGTGCCATTTACCCCCTCCCCCAATCCCCACACATATTCCTGTTCTTATTATCATTAGCATCAGCATCAACAGCAGTAGCGTGAAAAAAGAAAGAAAAACGAAAACGAGGAGGGGGTAGCAGAAATTTAAGTAAACTATGGAAAATGAGAATAAGGGAGACTATTATTCAGATTACAGCAACAGCTTTGATCAACTGAGTGGCTTCCCTTTCACATAGCTTTGTGATAGAGAATTGTTTCAACATCTTGTTTCCATTAAAATTTCTGACAAGAGTGATACCGAGAGCTCACAGCAACATAAGTAATCCACCGTCGGAAAAGAGTCTATAGCAGCGTTTTTCGGTACATCAACACATTAGTGGCTATATGAGAATGGATTCAAGCAGTGATATGATCAATGTTAGTATCAATATCGCCATGGTGAATTGTTGTAGATTATCTATAACCCTATCTTATTTTTTCTACCTATTTCGGAATTTAAACGAAGATCTCCATCGTTTATTTTTAAGAGACCTCTTCTATTTTCACTTCAAAGAGTACTGGTTTATATGAGCAAACATTACCCCGTGAAGATCGAGATATAATCTTGGCTGCAAGAATTAATTTACTTCAATAAGATTATTTCAATAAAATTTCTTGAACTGTAAACGATACAATTATTTTCGTTAGCCAAATTATTTACTCTTTACTTGTCTAAATTTGCAATCTCTGACTGTATCTGTCCAGCTGATTGCATTTGTAATTGTATATTATTGGTCCCGACATGAAATATCACTACGTCGTAATTCCGAATACTTGCCCTACTTAAAGAGATTTAATAAGAAATTCTCCCAACTGTAAACCCTAGTCAAGTTATTGTGGTAGAAAACAAAATTCGTCTCAGTCTGATACAAAACTATACAAAGCCGAGTTTGTCAAGCAGGGAACGAACTTATTTCGTATCCGGATTTTCTTTGATAATTCAATTATGATGTAAACTTTTATTTCCTGAGGTGCTATTTATGTCGCCGCGTCTAATATACATTGAGTAATATTGCAACTGTTTTGCGAAAACAAAAAATCCATTACAATGTTGCATTACATTAGTATAATAGAGGACAGAGTAGAATACATTATAAATTAGCATCATAAAACAAGAAGAAAATAAATAAAAGATTCTTTCTACAACCAACACTTCACATCAACAAGAACTGGGCAGTCTTTTTTTTCTGCTAATTAATACATGTTTATATTATTGCACGTTTTAGATTTCGAATGCGAGAAACATTGTAGGCGATGTGAATCATGTTGTTTTAGACTGAGCTAACTGTTTCTTACAATACGTTGCAATGTTTTCAATTACAAAATTGGTTCTCTATCTATATTTACGATAGATGCGATATTTAAGTTGCATGTACCATTATCGATGTCCGAGATTTTATAGCGCTATCTAATTGCAAATGTAATTTTCCCAAAGAAACTCATTTGTTAGAATTAAAAACTACATAATATATTTTAACTTTATTAAAATTCAAAACTAACTATATAGTTCATATTTAATAAAATTGAAAACTATCTATTTATTTTCCTAAATTAAAATTACAAACCATCTATACATTTTATCTACTTTAAAATTCAACATAGCCTATAATATATTTTAACATGTAAAAAACTTGCTAGAGCAGACGTGTTTATTTTTGCAGCAGTAATTGTTTACTGACATCCTTATGCCACATGTTAAATTAGCTCTCATACAATTCGATTTTTGATATATTTCGAACTATGGTGTATTTTCTCTAACTGCTTTAGTAAGGCAACGATTATTACGTTTCAGGCTTTAAAAATGAAGGAGAATTCCACTCTTACATGAGGAAAACAAATATGCATTCTTAAGAAAGGCATGAATATTGCATTTCTTAATTAAATAAAATGTCATTATT